AACCTGTACTTTAGAAAGATCACTCTAGCGGCTCTGCGGAAAGTGGATTTGGGAAAAAAGCATGAGAGTAAGAAGGCTCTTGCAGTAGAATATGAGCTTTGAGAGTGCAGACTGTGTTTTATAACTTATGGTCAACATTTAGGCACTTGGAGGCACTCAACTGATATGGTATGAATTAAGTCTTAGAAAGAAATGATTACAAGAAAAAAAGGCTGGGCAAAAACTAATGACACTGAGGATGTGTCTGAGCCACAAAACTGGACCACGAAGGATGGGAGTGAGAATAGGTATGGCAGCAGGAATGGGAATATAAGCTGGTGGTGGGGCTGAGAGTAGAAAGACAAGGAAAGGATAGGGCCTTTCTGGTGTACAGGACTAACCTCGTTTCCAAGTAGTAGATAACATGTTGTTTTGAGCACAGATCCGCCTGGCCAGAGAAGGATGCTTGAGAATCTGGGATTTACACAGCTGGATCAGGCTGTCCACAATGACTGGGCTTGGAGAAAAGAAGAGACATTTGGAGGTGTAAAGCTGACTCCAAGATCCATCAGTAGGAAATCTTACTGACTTGGGGGAAACTTACCAGTAGGTCTCTCTCTTGGGGATGTCTTCAGTAGAGTGCCAGAGACGAGCATGAGAGATCGCATTCAGAACGCGTTCATCTTGGTTCTCTATGTGGTTCCTCGGATTGTCAGCAAGGCTAAGCACTTTCTCGGGAAGGCCTTCTATTAACTTGGTCTTGGTAAGCCAGAGGGCCTGCTTTACACCTTTAGGGTCATCGATCACAAAAAACAAACACTAAAAAAAGATGATTCAGAAAAAGATGCTTATGCTTTCCCAGTTGCATTTTGGGGAAAGAGCAGCCTTGAGACAGAGATGGGATGTGTTCTGACATCTGAGGGGACAGAACTAAAAATAAAGAGCAGAAGCGAGGAGAACCAGGTTTCAACTCATCTCCAGGAATGACCATCTGCTTAAAAACAGTTAACAGTTGACTGATGTACAGTACTCGCCACAGGAAGAATTCAAACAGCTATTAAAATGGCTGAGATCATGAGACTGAACCTCGCAGGCAAGGGTCGTTTGTAGCCTGTCTGTAGGTATAGAGGATTCAGACCCTAGCATACAGGCCTAGATCAATAGATGCCAACCTTTCAAAACCTAGATCCCTTCTATTAACCCACACCCTAGCCCTGACTGGAAAAGCTCACGTCTGCCAAATATACTTCATTCAATAGATACAGGCCCAGGATCAAGCACATGCTGCTTTATCAAGGGAAAGAAGCTTTCAGAAATAAAGGAAATATCTTCTGGATCATGAATAACTTGAGGAGTGCTGAGTTTGGGAGCACCAGATAATTTTTCGCATCTACCTCTGAGATTATATAATGAGCCATTTTATAAGCAGAATTTTGTATGAAGAGGCCATATGAACTGTACTGCTATATTTGTTAAAAGAATCCTTCTGAAGATGTTTTTCAATTTATTATACTGGGTCCTCCGAGGCCTTCTGAACTTCTCTTTGGCCTCCATACAAGAAGGGTTGGCTTTTCCTGGGTAGAGTACTATTTTGTCTTTTGGACATGGTGAACTACGTTAACTCAAAATGTTTCTCTATATCAGGGGCCAAATTCTTTCTTAAAGGGTCAGAGAGTAAACATATTCAGCGTCTGGGCCATACAGTCTCTGTCACAACTACTCAGCTCTGCCACTCTAGCACAAAAGCAGCCACAGGTAACAAGTACACCCGTATGCATGATTCACAGAAAAAGGCAACGGGCCCGGTCAGTGGGCCCCATCTCCGTACCATCTGTTGACTGCTAGCAAGCTGAGAGCCAATTCTGGTGCTCCCCTATATATGTACAACCTCACAGAAAGGATTTTTTGTACTCACCTCACTGTTTCTACGCTCATCCCCTCACCTATTTTTAATTTAATCTGGCGGTACTATAAAATTTCTATAAGATGCCCAAAATGCTTCTCAGGAAAAAGAGGAAGAACAAAGATTTGATCCAGAGTGCTTAGTCTTTAAAAACTAATTTAACCATCCTACTCTCAGGGGGATGGGGCTGCGGTGCCAGGCAAAACTCCCTTGCTTCACTTTCCCCCAAACTCACTTCCCTAAAGGAGGAAGAGGCGCAGACATAGGGGCCTAAATTCTGCACGAAGTCCACATGCCAGTCCTCTAACTCTCAGAGTTAACACTGCGTTCTCTTTGACGACTATGTCCATCAGCTGGCAGAGCTCTGTTGACTGCTACTCATTCCAGTTGAAAAAACATCACCTGACTCAGGAACACATCTTTATTTGAAAAACTATGGGATTAAAGCAAACCCAGGACACTTTGAAGGAAAACACCTCAATTTCTCTTGTGGTGACAAACGAAAGGCATTGAAGCTTTTCACTGTAAGGTTCATAATATATCAGAAACACAAATATTTAGAAATTTAACTTCTTGATTGTGTGGTACAGCAGAAAGAACCCTGGACTGGGGGTCCGGTAACCCAAGTTTTAGTCCCAACACTGCAACTGTTCCTAGAACTTGAAAATGGATAAAATATTAAGAATTTATGGTTCACTAGTATATGAATAATATGTAACAGAGGTGCCATTTACTGAACATTACCATCTACTCTGTACCAGGAGCTTTATCGACAAGTTGGATGGGATTTCATGAAATGGAGGATGGAACTCAAGAGAGATGAAGGACTTTGTTTCAAGTCTCAAACCTTGTAAGCGATGGGGCTGGGAGGAAAACCGTTACATTAAAGCCCAGGATCTCTCCATTACCCCAATCTGCTTCTCTAGCCCTGTATCTTATAGAATTTTATTATAGACTTTACAGAACCTCTCTGCATATGATGAAAGTGTAGGATATGTTTTCAGCCTCGTCAAACAAGTTAACTTTAACTTCTAAAATACATCTAATGCAATTCATCCACATAGTAATGTTACCGGGATCACGCAAGGGTGCCAAGTCTTCTGAGGTCCTTCACAGCACCTTGCGAGGACACTAGAGGTGTTTAAAGGCTGAAAAAACCAGCTTTCAGCTTTCAGGAATGGGTTTGAACAGTTTAAGAGGCTGGCCAGTTGATTTCTCCTCAAACCAAGGATTTTTTCTCTGGCTGAGTCCCCAAATCCTGCCTGGTCTCTTTCTTCCCTAATTACTTATCAGAAAATTCTGTTCCCACTTACCTGGACCATTCTGTATTTTCAGGACCTGTCCTAACCCCAGCCTGATTTAGGGACTAAGGAAGAATGAGTTGGAAACAATGGGTAGGAGAACTCAATAGAGACCGCCCCCCATGGGACTCTGGAACATAATATCTAGTACTGCCCCAAACATACAGATGGTTTTGGCTAAAGTCATTCTGACCTGTCCTTAGTGAGAGTGAAAGGGTGAGGAGGGACTAGATGGTTTTTAGGTCCAGATCTTTTCCCTCAAAACATCTCAGCTCTGACCTCTGACAAAGGTCACTGATCTGGGAAACCAGGGGTGTAGCCCTGGCTTTACTAGATACCCACAGTGCACCTATGAGCAAATCACTGCCAAGTCACTCCCCTCTGTCACAGTTACCAATCCTGTGAAAAGACGCAATAGACCTGCAGGTTAAGCACTGTTTCTGCCATCTCTATGCACTATAATCCCCCTCCATCTAAATCTTAAAAGTTACATCTCCAAGGTGCAAGAGTTGGGTCACTGTCAAAATCACTCATTTCGCAGGAGACAGAGGCTCAAGAAGCTTCAGTCACTTACCCCAAATCACACACAGAGAGGCAGGGCTAGGCCTAGAAACCATGTCTCTTCACTTGGCCACAAAAACTAAAACTCCCTCACACATGCTAGTCTTTACATCCCACTTAATCCTGACAATTCTCAGAAATAAGACTCAATACCGGGCCCATTTCGCAGACGAAGAAACCAAGACCCACAGTTTCAAAGTCTTGCCCAAGCCCACAGAAGGTCGGGGTTAGTGCTGGATAGAAGAACAAGGTCCCCTCCCGGCCGTCCTGGGGCCTCACCCTCGAGGAGGCGGCAACGCTGGTGGAAGATATAGCAGACCTCATCCTTGTATAGCGGGTGCTCCTGCAGCGGGGGCAAGCGGCGGAACTTCGGGTGCGTCCAGCCGGGATCCCAGGGCGGGAAGATTGGTCGTGCCAGCCCGGGCATAAAGTGCATCTTCCCCGCGAAGGTGATGGGCTCCAGTCCAGGAATCTCATACACCCTATCCAGGGGAGGAGGCTCCGGCTTTCTCGTGGATCGCACGCCCCACTCGTACGCCCTGCGTCTCGGGACCCCGCAGCCCTCAAGGCCGAGCCGCCAAGGGCGAGCCAGCGCCCGCTTCGCGGGCCCAGACGCCAACGCCATGCCAATCTGCTCTCAAGACCTCCACCTGGACGCCGCCATCTTCCCGCGCGCAAGGCCTGATGGGAACGCAAGGGGCCGACCGCCAGGGTTCGTTTTATGAGTGGCAGGTCCTTTAACCAATCACCGCCAGGTAACTCTTGCCTTGCCCCACCCCGCAGGCCGTCCACATTTTTTCACAGGTGGAACCCTGCCCACCTCTCCCGGGTGGGAGTGAAACCTGCAAGATCTTTACCTGAGGGGAATCGCAGGAGGGTAGGTGAGTGGTTGTGGTGAGAGCTGGAACGAACTAGGAGAGCTTCAGGACTTAAAACCTCAACTCAGGACAACCTTGATTTCTTACGAGCAATTGGAGCTTGGGCAGAGTACTTCCTTCTGAGCCTTAAAGTCACTCGGTGTAAAAATCGGGATGTGTCTGTGTGCTCAGTCGAGTCTAACTCTTTGCGACCCCATGGACTGTAGCTGGCCAGGTTCCTCTGTCCATGGAATTTTCCAGGCAAGAATGCTGGAGTGGGTTGCCATTCCCTCCGCCTGGGGATCTTCCTGACCGGGGGATCGAGCCCACATCTCTTGTCTTCTGCATTGGCAGGGGGATTCTTTACCACTTCGCCAACTTGGAAGCTTCAAAATAGGGATGGAAATGCCTAAACTAGCTCAATCACGCAGCGCACAGAACGTGGTGGGTATCCCGTAAGTTTTCTTTTCTCTCCACCACTTCTGACGTGGAGCCTGAGCGTTGCCCTTGCACCACGCTGGGGCCGCTCTGACCTCGCACACTGCATGCCTCCTCCCCAGTGTTCAAAATTAGTTCATTTTCCTCGTCTGTCCCTTTTCGCCTCCTAGGAGCGGGGCCAGAGCGGCAGAGGGGTGCCTTGCTCCTTGTTCAGTAGGTGTTTATCAAATACCTACTGTGTGTCGGGCACTGTTGAGTAGCGGGTTTTCACTGGTGAATAAAACGGATGTGCGATGTAGAGCTTACAGTTTAAGTGGGAGATACAGACAGAAAGCAAGTAAACCAAATAGCAGTTGCAACACACACACTTAATATCCCTTTCCCTCAGTTGTTTAGTTGTTTTCCTCTTTAGTATTTAACACTAAACATAGCCTATTTTTCATTTTGATCTTAATGATGTTCCCACTGGAGAATATAAGCTCCATGACTGCAAGGAGCTCCATGAATGCAAGGAGTCCATGAATGCAAGAGTTTTTGTTTCTTCATTATTGTGAAGTCTGCCTCTAGATCAATGCTGAGCACATAGTAAATATACATTTAATGAATCAATACATAATGATGTAATGAATAAGCCAATAGAGTACCTGCTAAAGCAGAGGTCCTCAACCCCCAGGATAGTCACTCCCCATCAACTTGCATCACTGCCTGAGCTCTGCCGGCTGTCAGTTCAGCAGCTGGCATTAGATTCTTATAGGAACATAGACCCTAACCCTGAAGTAAAGGCAGAATATCCTGATTGCCACAAAATAGAAATAAAAGGCACAATAAATCTAATGTGCTCAAATCTTCCTTAAATCATCCCCTCCCCCACCCCAGTCTGAGGAAAAATTGACTTCCACGAAACCGGTCCAAGCCAGCTATGCTAGAAAACGAGAAGGAGGTGGTACAGGGGGTGGCTCTGAGAGGAGGTGACCTTGAAGCAGGGTGTGAGGGAGTGGAGAGTCATCCAGGCAGAGGCAACATGTGTCAAGGCCTGGCTTCTTAGACTCAAAAAGTAGAGGCTGAGAGGAGATGCGAAACTAATCTTTAAAATTCATAACTGACACGGCCAACTTCTCTAATCACTTCCAAAATAGCAGGGAAAGTGGGATTGGTAAAATCCAGAAAGTAAATTTAAGGCAAAGATAGATAAATAACTCTCACACTGTACAGCAGTTTACAGTTAACAGAGCTCCTTCTGTTAGCTTAGCTCACTTTATTTCTCCCAAACCTCTTGGGAGTAAGAAATCAGCATATAGAGGAAACCAGATCTCATTCACTTTTATTACAAACCTGGTACATAACATGCAGGAAGAATGGGTTGGACTGATGTGGCACCATTCTCGTCTGGAAGCTCTGTGAAGGTAGCACCCATGTTTTATTAACCTCTGCTGTATCCCAGCACCGAGCACTATGCCTGGCTCCCAGACCTTGTTTGTAAACTGAGCACTCACCACTTGCCTGAGCCTTCCGTCTGCCAGGCCTGTGCTTGGTGGTAGAATGCAGAAAGAATAAGACACCACACTTGCCCTCAAAAGGGTCTTAACCTGCTGAACCTTCCTGAAATCATTGAACTAGCAGTAGAAGGTTTTCTTTCCTCTAAAGAGAAACCTTTCCTTTACAAGAGAGAGATTTGTGGCATACACAGGAACTGCCCTTCTAAAATCAATGATAGTAAGTGGTAAGAGCATTTGGGCAAGTTCTGACCAGGAAGAATGTTGGGCACCAGGCAAGAAGGTTGGATTGTGTGTAGTAGGCAGTGGGGGATTGTTGGAGATTATGAAGCAGGGGACAGGTGTGGTCAGAGCTGGTAGCAGGTGTGCTGAGGGATAGTGTTGGGGGAGACTGGAAGCACATCGTTTGGGCCCATAGAAAACTCCGATGTAAATGGGTATGGGAAGCGGAAAAAGTGGGAAAGATCGTAAAAGTTAGGACTCCTGGGAAGTGATTGGTAACCAAGAAATGGGACTTCTGTGTCCTCTGGCAGGCATAGTGATTTGCTCCTCGCCTTTCCACAGACTTGACCCACACCTTGATTCTAGCATTTTATGCACCCATGAAGCTACTGCCCTTGGGAGGCTCCAGGGGGCCCATAAAATTCAATGGCAGTTTGACAAGGTTGGTGTGCCAGCCCAGCCCACTGGGAACTGGAGATGAAGACACTCCTCTGCCCTGCAGAGGCGTGAAATCTAGGGAGAAAGAGTATCCTGGAGTCTTAAGAGACCAGGTATATGCACTAACCTTGCCACTCTGGCTTCCTGGCCACAGTTTTCTCCATTGTGAAATAAAGAAATGCATTGCCTCCTTACCTATGGCTGTCGGGAGCAGAGTGAGACGGTGCAAAGTGCTTTGGACAGACTGGCCCAGTAAGTGACCTCTATTCTTTTCCCAGTTATTATCTGCTTACTGTCTGACTCCTCCAGGCCAGGAGCTCCTCTAGGACATAGATGAGTAGTGTCACTCACCTCTGTGTCGCAGCACCTCATTCAGCAGCCCCTGCCCAGTAAGTGTCAAATGAGTGGGAGGATAGCAAAAACTGGAGGTTTTAGTCGTAATTGCATTTTAAGTAATGTTCTGTGACATCAGATTTCCCCTAAGTTCTGTTCTCAGACAAGAGGGAGAGAAGAGACCCCCTCCCCCCTTTACTTTGATTTGCCTGTGGGAATTTAAATGAATAGTTTCCTTGCAAGTGAGATGACAGCTCTATTTCTATATGAACTGTAGAGTTCCACATATAAATACAGAAAACCTTGATAAATTCCAAACTGCCCTCACAGAAACATCCCAAAATAAATCATAACCATTTAAATTTTCCTCCCTGGTCTATCTTTCAATATTTACCTAATGGCCCTGAAACCAAGTTCCTTGCTTTCCTTTCTTCCTTTCATATAACATGCATATTTTTAAATATACACTGTGCTGCTTCATAAAATGAATAAAAAAACAGGTCTCTGCCCTCAAGCAGTTCACAATCTCAGAAGAGAAAAACATGTAAACTTGTTAATTTCTGAACAGTGTGAAATGCTGTAGGGTGGAGATTCATCTACTGGAAGGGCATTTATTGAGTACCTGCCATGACCAGGGCTGGACCAAGTGCTATGAGTGCTGCAGGAAGCCAAGCGGGCCTTTGCAGAGACCCCAGCCTGCTCTCTACCAGCCCATCCCTTCCTTGTTGTCTGTTACCCAGAGCTCCATCTCTAGACTCAGGTTCCTAGACCTGCTTAATCCAAATGGAACTAGATTTTGCCCTTGGATGCCCCACAGGCATTCAGTGTACCTCTCACTGAACTTACCATTTCCCTCCCTTCCTCTTTCCTCTAAAACTCAACTCCTTTTGGACCCACTATCCACCCAAGGATCCAAGCCACACACCTGGATGTCACTTCAGCCCTCTCTCCCCCTCACCTGCTCACCTCACATCCGTCAGTCTCTGTGTTCTGTTAATTCCTGCTTCAGGATTTCTCTAATTGTCCCCTCTCCTCTCATCTTCTCTGAAGCTGTCCTGGTCCTGATCAGCTCTCGCCTGGACCATCATGACCTCCTTCTCCTGTTTTCCTGTGATTAAGAACAATATGTTTGGAGACCAGACAGAGCAGAATTTAAGTCCCAGTGCCATCATTTATGGAACTTTGTGACCTGGGTAGGGCTTCCCAGGTGGCACTAGTGGTAAAGAACCTGCCTGCCAATGCAGAGGGTGCAAGAGATGCAGGTTCGATCCCTGGGTCAGGATGATGCCCTGGAGGAGGGCACGGCAACCCACTCCAGTATTCTTGCCTGGAGAATCCCATGGACAGAGGAGCCTGGTGGGCTACAGTCCATAGGGTTACAAAGTTGAACATGACTGAAGCGACTTAGCATGCACGTGTGTGACCCTGGGTAAGTTATTAAACCTCTTCAGACTCCAGTTTGCCCATCCATAAAATGGCACCTCCAGGACTGGCCTTGTTGTAAAGATTAAATAAAACGCAGCAATTTGGTAGATGACTCACCAACAATACTAAGAGAAGGAAACTAGGCACAGAAGAATACATTCATATGATACTGTTGTTACTGTTTAGTCGCTAAGTCATGACCAACTTTTTTGTGACTCCATGGACTGTAGCCCACCAGGCTCCTCTGTCCCTGGGATTCTCCAGGCAAGAATACTGGAGTGGGTTGCCATTTCTTTTTCTTCTCAATGCAGGGATTTAACCCGAGCCTCCTGCTTGGCAGGCAGATTCTTTACCACTGAGCCACCTGGGAAGCTGTTCATATAAAGGTAAAAACTAAGCAAATCTGATAAATTGTGGATAGAATTGCAAACAAAGGTGGCACGAGTATAGAAAAGCACGGAAACCGATAGTGGTTATGGGGGGCGGAGGTGTGGTCAGAAAGGACACAAATGCGCGACTTCTGAGATACCAGCAAGGTTCTTTTTACTTGAGTGAGTGGTGGTTACAAAATGGCTCTTTTATAACAATTATTAAATTGTACATAAATGTTTTACTTCATCATTTAAAATATTTTAAAAGTTCAATGAAATTTTCTATGTAATCTTTTTTTTTTAACTTTTTCTTTTCTTTTATGTTGGCGTATAGCTGATGAACAATGTTGTGAGATTTTCTTTGTAATCTTGATGCAGCACTCAGAGCATGGGAAGAGGTCAAGAAACCGTGGTTGCCTGTTGGGATTATTGTGCCTGTCTGCCTCCCTCCCCGCAGACAGCAGACCCCAGGACTGATTCATCCTTGTGCTCACACGGAGCTTGGCACCTGCCGGCCTCAGGGAGAACCAGTGGAATAGAGGTGCCCAGAGTGTAACCACATGTGTTCCCTCCTCCAGGCTGGCAAGGGAGCAGGGCCTGGGCCTGCTCTGGGAAGAGTATCTGATCAAGCCCCACTGATGGTGGGCCAGGGGGAGGAAGGTGACAAAGAGGAAGCCTGGCTGCAGCTTCGGCCGGTGGAGCCTTTGCCCTCCCAGTGCTGCGGCAGTGGCTGCTCGCCCTGTGTGTTCGACCTCTACCAGCGAGACCTGGCAAGGTGGGAGGCTGCCCGAGCCAGCAAGGACAGGAGCCTGCTGCGCAGGGAAGAGACACAGGTAAGGGGGGTGCCCCTCAGACACGAGGGCTGGGTGTCGGCATCCACCTGACCTCAGCCCCGTACGGTGTACCTGCTCAAGGGAGCTTCCTCTGACTCTGCAGCAGAGGGAAAAGAGTGGGCCTAATGAAGCAGACTGACCCAGGTTCAAAGCCTGGCCTTGAGTTGGGGAGTGGGGGATGGGGTGGTATAGTGAGGGAAGGACCCAGGAGTGAATTGGGTGGGTGCATTTTCAGGAGAACAGGATCTGTGAGTTAGGGCAGTCAGAGAAGACTTCCTGGAGGAAGTCTGGGGGGTGGGTGGAATATTAAGGGCAATGGGCTGAGACTTAGAGGACATGAATTTGAATCCCTGCTCATGGTGGTGACTTTGTACAAATAAGTCACTACCACTTAGGCCTAGTTTCCCCACATGTAAAATAAGGGTATTGGCTTAGGTCATCTTTAAGGTCCCATCAATTTCTAAATCTGCATACTGGATTTTAGCTGATTTCAAGGATAGGTGGGTTTTTCATATGTTGGAAATGAGAAAAAAAAGAAAGAAAAGAAATGAGTGTTCTGGATGGAGGACACAGCTTGAGCAAATAAAGACTTACAGGTTGGAATCCACAAGGTATTCTTGTGGGGAACAGAGAAAGGTCTGACACTGGATGCTTGGGAGATAAAATGAGACTCAGGACCCATCCACGGGCACTAGAGTGTCCAACTAAGGACCTTGTGCTTTATCCTGGGCCTGAGAGGAACCGTGCAAGGCTTCAGAGCAGAGTGACCTTGATGTAAATAAAGTGCTCTGGCGTTCTTAGAGCCTGAAAGGGAAGGAAAGTGGGGCTGCACTTTTATACAGAAAACTTGTCAACTGCAATAGCCCCTCCTTGTGGGGAGGATGCTCGTGGAGGCTTGCCTGTCTCTTGAGTCCCAAGTTCTAGCTGGTGAATCTTTTCCTCTTGCAGAGCTGCCCTTCCAAGCTGAGCCCAGAGACCTTCCTGGCCTTCCTCATCAGTGGTGTAGAGAGGCTCACCAAGGACACCTACCTTGTCCGGTTTGCACTACCCGGGAACAGCCAGCTCGGCTTGCGGCCTGGCCAGCACCTCATCCTACGGTACACTCAGGTAGTGGGAGGACCTCATCCTACGGTCACTCAGGTGATGGGAGGACCTCATCCTATGGTACACTCAGGTAGTGGGAGGACCTCATCCTACGGTACACTCAGGTGATGGGAGGACCTCATCCTATGGTACACTCAGGTGATGGGAGGACCTCATCCTACGGTACACTCAGGTGATGGGAGGACCTCATCCTACGGTACACTCAGGTGATGGGAGGACCTCATCTTACGGTACACTCAGGTAATGGGAGGACCTCATCCTATGGTCACTCAGGTGATGGGAGGACCTCATCCTATGGTACACTCAGGTGATGGGAGGACCTCATCCTACGGTACACTCAGGTAGTGGGAGGACCTCATCCTACAGTACACTCAGGTGATGGGAGGACCTCATCCTACGGTACACTCAGGTAGTGGGAGGACCTCATCCTATGGTACACTCAGGTGATGGGAGGACCTCATCCTACGGTACACTCAGGTAGTGGGAGGACCTCATCCTACGGTACACTCAGGTAGTGGGAGGACCTCATCCTACGGTACACTCAGGTAGTGGGAGGACCTCATCCTACAGTACACTCAGGTGATGGGAGGACCTCATCCTACGGTACGCTCAGGTAGTGGAAGGACCCCATCCTACGCTACACTCAGGTAGTGAGAGGACCCAGGCTTTGCAGCCCTGCTCTGCCATTTGTTAGCAGTGTGGTCTCGGGCAACTTGCTTAAACTTCCTAAAGCTTCCATTTGCCATCTTCAGAGTAAACACTGTGATACATGACTTAGAGGGCTCTTGGAATTGACCTAGATAATGTATTTTCATGATAAATAATAACAACAAACACTTTTTTCACACAGTTTATGCTCATACGTATGAGCTTATTTATTGTTTACAAAATCCAGTGTGGTAGGCACCATTATCATACCAGAGAGGAAACTGAAGTCAGAGAGGTTTAATAACTTCCCCCAGATCACACAGTTGGCAGATGCTGGAGCCAGGGTTCGAAAGTAAACAGTGTGTCTCCAGAGGTTGTGGCGTTAACCTCATACAGTTAGCACCAGCTGATAGAAAGGAGCCTGACATTGAAAATAAGAGACTTGCCCAGTATCACACAGCTAATAAGGATTCAAGCCCAGACAGCCCGCCTCCTGAATTACACCCTTCATTCCTCTGCACTTCCTTCTTCCTCCCAGCTTAATTTTGTCCTCTCCTCCCACCTCGATCCCCACCTCCACCTACCCAGGGACAAGACCCTTTGGGACCTCCAGGTGAAGGCATCTGGCAGGCAGGCAGCTCTCTAGGCCTGACACTCAGCAGAGAGATCTGAGCTGCAGGCATAGATCTGGGAAGCATCCAGGTATATCGTTATACCTGGATGGCGTTTGGGAGCATGAGACATGCAAAGAAGGAAGGAGTTAGGACTGAACCCTTGCAACTCCACCGTTTATAGTGTTGGCAAGAGGAGGTAGAGCCAGCAAAGGAGACAGAAGGTGTAGCCAGGAAGGAAACCAGGAGAGAGCTTATTACTCATCACACTCTAGTCACTTGCCTCACACTGACCCCTGGTGTTTGTATCCAGCTCATTCTGGCCTGTGGCCTGGCTGGCGGTCCTTAAAGGTCACTGTTCCTTTAGGAGCCACAGGACAGGTCAGAGCCCAAGAAACCCTCCATCCATAAGTCAGGGATGCCCAGAACTGCCTGCTTCTGGTCTGGTCTCTCTCCACTGTCTCTGTCACTCTCAGGACACCCATGTCCCTCCTCATTCAGACCCCTTCTGGTACTCCACAGCACCTCCCCAGCAACACGCCAGCCCACAGCCCCAGCTTCCTAGGCCACCAAGTTCTTCTCTGCTGCCCACCCACATGCTTGCCCCTCTCACCAGTTCCCGGCTTGCCCTACATTGAACTACCTCTAAGCTTTTGCCCCTGGAGGAGGGCATGGCAACCCACTCCAGTATTCTTGCCTGGAGAATCCCCATGGACAGAGGAGCCTGGTGGGCTACAGTCCATGGGGTGGCAAAGAGTTGGATACGCCTGAGTGACTAAGCACAGCACAGCACAAGCTTTTGCCTCGGTTCTTCCCGTTACTTCCTGTCCCCATTTTCATGTGTTAGTGGCTGGCTCATCCTTTAATACCCAGCTCAGGGAGGCCTTCTGAGGTTCCCCAGATGAGAGTGCCTGTGACTCTGTCATAGCAAATGTCACAGTGCCCTTTGCATCCGAGCCATGCCATATGTTCTGTTTGTCAGTGCTTTGTTCTGTAAGCATTTATTGAATGTTTCTGCCCAACTTTTGATACATTAGGATGAGCCTTTTTAATCTTTGCATACCTTGGAGGAGAAAATTTTTTTCATAGTAAGTTTCAAGAAAGGGGTGCTTGGGTGCTCCAGGGAAGCTCTGAGGTGTAGTCGTAAGGAACCTGGCTCTGAAGCAGACAGAGCTACAGTTGATTCTAGCTGTGTGACTTCAAGCAGGTACGACATCCTTCTCTAAGCCTTGGTTTCCTCATTTTGGTTATTGTTTGCAATAAATGAGGTACTGCCTGTAATATACTTGGTGCATCATAGGCACTTAATACAACATGTCAGCATGATTATCCTTCTGTCCCCCTTGTTGATAATTCTGGAGTGGATTCATGCATCAGGTCAAGCTTTGGATGAGGGCACCTTTGAGGATTCTTTCTAATTCCAATGCTCCTGGCATGTGGTAATATTTGCTAAATGTTAAATACTGGTTAAACCTAGCTGTTTTTATCTTGATCATGTTATGGTTGGGAAGAGGTCAGGAAAAACCCCAGTGATGTCCTAAAACAGCTTACATCACCAGTGTGTTTTTTGAAGAAACTTTTCATTTGTAATCCCAATGGAACCACATAGTAGAGGCATGGATGATTGTCCCCATTTTACAGAAGGAGCAACTGAAGGTTTAAATGACCTGCCCAGGGTCTCACAGCCAGCACGCAGTCGTGGGGGAGCCCAGTACTCTTTTCTTCTGCTCCACCTTGCCTGCCCTTCAGTGAGGACCACTGGGATGACTGGGCCCATAGCTTCACTCTCACCAGCCTGGCACAGGTTAGGTACCCTAAGGATTTGTTGAATTACTGGCTGACTGCCTGACCAAGTGCATCTCTTTCCCAGAGGGACAGTAGATGACTTAGAAATTCAGAGAGCCTATACGCCCATCAGCCCTGCCAATGCAGAAGGATACTTTGAAGTTTTAATCAAGGTAAGTCAACTCACACGGTTGCTCTAAGAGCCAAGGACTGGACCTCCATTTGCCAACTTGATCAGGGCTGGACACTTCCCTTTGACGTGGGAAAAGCCAGGATTCACATGGGAGGAGGCTGGCTGGAGGGAAGAGCAGGGACAATGGGGGTGGCCCTTTCTCATCTCCTTTCCTAGGGAAAAGGGGCTGCTGCATCACCAACAGAGGGCATGTTCCCAGTAGATTTTATGAACAAAAGGCTTGGGCTGAGAAGAGTAAAGCTCTTCCTCCTCACCTTCTTACTACTAATGGAGCATGAGCACTGAGCCAGGGAAAGGGGAACCAAGTCATGGGCAGTCAGGGGGGAGTCAGGGGGAGTCAGACCCAGTGCCCACCCTCAGATGGGGCCAGACTGGGACACTGCAAGGTGGTAGATGCAGCAAGCCCCAGCCTAGCTCAGGGCACCTGGGGCTGCAGGGAAAGTGGGCTGGGCTTCCTCGAGGAAGCTGTATGTGTGAGCTCTGTGTTAAGCTCAGGAGTGGGAAGGAAGCTCTGAGTGCTGAGCAGTGCGTATATACAGCAGCCAAGGGGGCTTGACTTGGGGAACTTCCAGTCATTCGTCTTGGAACAGAGCGGGTGTGCAGGCAAAAGATGGGACATGAAGTTCCTTGGGGACCAAGCTAACTGAAATTACCTTACACAAGGAGTTGGCAGGGGCCGGGGCATTTGAGTTGGGCCTTGAAGAAGGAGTACAGATTAGAGGTGGTGTTCCAGGGGTGGATAACCAAAGGCAGGGAGAAGTGAAATAAAGCAGGGTCTGGTGGGAACTATACTCAGTCTGAGTGGTGGAAGGAGATGTGCTTGTGGGGGCAGCCAAGGTGGGCTGGGCAATTGGTAGAGATGAGATGAACAAAGTGGGCTGGATGCAAAATGCTCCAGAGACCCAAGGAGTAGGCAATAAATGTATAAGAAGTCATGAAGTTCGAATTACGTGCACAAATAATTGGGTTGAACTACATGAAATTGCTGACACGCTAACATTTTTGACTTACGGAACCAGCAGTTTCACATGATACAGCCTAGATACAGCAGTTTCAGCCTAATACATAGCTCTAGATCTTTTCCCAAACAGAATCCTAGGGAACACCTATCTTTAGGTGTTCACATCCTTTGTCTCCCTTGTAGGACAGAAATTATCCCCCTTTCATTGACAAGTAAACTGAGACCCCAGGAGTGCCTGAGACTCCCCAGGTAGTAACAAGTGCAAGTGGTGGGTAAGCCCTGGCCTCCTGATTCCAAGTACCTAGCACTATCTATGGCCCCTGCCTTCCCCGTCTGCCTTCAGAGCTCAAGTATTTATTCCCTCACACATAAGCTTGGATGGGATCCCTTCTCCACGCAACTGTTTGTCTGGGAGATTCCACAAATCCTCTCCAAATGGCCCACTTCCCCAAGCTGCTTGTCTGGGTGTGTTTCTATTGAAAGGATAAGCCTGGAGACAGTACTTCGGGGCAGCTGGATCGTTCCCAGCTGCAAGGCTGATTTTCTCCTTCGTTTACCGGAAAGCCTCTCTTCAGAGAGATGCTTAATTATCCCTAAGCCGCTGGCTGGGAAGAACTGGAAATGTCTTGGCAAATTGGGAAGGCAGGCGGGTTTTCTAAGGTTTACGCTCCCTTGTAGATGGGAAGGGGGAACTCCCATTTCTCAGCCACCTTCTGGGCTCCAGGTACTGTGTCTAGCTCTTTAATTACCTCATTTCAACCTTGTAACCACCCTGCAGAGTAGATCATATTCTCCCCACTTTGCAGATGAAGAAACTAAAACTCAGAGAGATGATATTGTCCCAAGGCCCCTCGGGTAATATGATCCCAAATGGAAGAACAAGTCCAGTGTCAGTTCTGTTTAACAAATGTGTTTTGAGGGTTTACCCTGTGCCAGGCTCTGTGTGGGTGCCAGAAGCACAGAAAAATCCTTCCTTTCTTCTTGAGTTCTCCCTGTGCCATAGGGCTTTTAAGGCCACCCCTGGGGCTGTGCCTCACCAGGACCGGGGCCACAGAACAAGGGGTGGGCTGAAATGTATCTTTCAGCAAGTTAGAAAAACTGTAGCCTCCTCCCCAGACTTTTTAGGTCAGCCGAGGACGTTCTTTGCTTTATGCATTTGGTGCCCAAGGAAGGCAGTGATGGTACCAGAAGTGGCTGCGAGTGCTTAAAAGCAAATCTGGTGACCAAAGCCCAGTCTCTCCTTCAGGCCTGGTTATAATTTCTCCAAACACTCTTCCAGTCCTCTCTCCCAGTGCTCCCCCCAACCCCTCCTCTATCGTGTCCACTTGCTGTTCCTAGAACATGATCTGGGCTGTCCTACCCCTGAGCATACCACACCTGACGCCCAGAATTCTCTGTGCCCTTCTGCTCCCATCTCCAGTGAGTCTGATCCTCCCCAGTCTTCAAGGTCCAGCCCCACTGCTTCCTTCTCCAGGAAGCTCTGCCCAGTCTCACTCTACTGGAAGTGACCGCACCTCCTCAGGCGTTAGATAGTCTCTACCTTGTCTATGTCTGAGCCTTAGACTGTGAGCTCCTTACACTTAGGAGGGCCTGATCTGGGTTACTGATTTGTTCATTCAGATGTTTACGTCCTTTCCATGATTCAAGCATTGGCTGCTTTCATGGAGCTTAAGGCCCAGCTGTCTTCCCTGCAGCCCCAGCATAGTGCCTAGCACAGAGTGGGTGGGCACCCAGCAAGTGCATACTGCCCTTCTCCCATGGAGGAATCCCCTCCACAACCTTCATTTTTTTCATCCAGCCAGGAGACAGTATAGGGATATGCAGAGACTGCAGATGAGTGGCCCACAGACTGCCTCTAGCCTGCAAATATATTTGGTTTTGGCCTGTTTGGTGTTTTAAAATTTTAAATTAACTGCTAACATTTCAAAAATGGGAAAATTTTCTTAAAAATACGGATTTCCTGCCCCTCTTAGAAAGTCAGAAGATCTGGCATCACTGGCCCTGTGGACTGTGTACTGGAATTTGCAAAGTGACTTCTTCCTTTAGAAAGAGAATTCGCTCACCAATTTACCTTAGTCCCCACCACTCACTCTTGTCTGCCTAACGCTGAGACTGTTAGGTGCCATTAGTTGTCTCATACCTGATTCTTCACTCAGTTACGTTACCTGTGTGGCCCCTGGTTATTTGGTTTGAGACCTCTGTAATTAAGGCCTATAGTCATACAGATTCTCATCCTGGTCTTACCATTTGCCTTCTGTGTAAGGTTCTGGGCCTCATCTGAAAACAGGGACTGACAGCACTAACTTCGTGGATGATTAGAAGGATTAAATGAGACAATGCTTGTAAAGTACTGAGCTTGAGGCTGACGCGTGTAAAGTACTGAGCTTGGTTTGTATTGGCAGTGCATGCCCATCCCAATGAGATCTCCCTTGGTTTGTTTGCAGTGCTACCAGACTGGGCTGATGTCCCAGTATGTCAAGTCCTGGAAAGCAGGAGACACAGCTTTCTGGAGAGGACCCTTCGGAGGCTTCTTCTATAAACCAAACCAGGTCAGTGCCCACGTTGCGTCCTCAGGAGGCCCCTCCCAGCTTAGCCTCCAGGACTGCGGTTCTCATGTTTCAGGCCATAGAATCTCATTGTGGCATTTTTCTTGAGCCCAGACTTAATGCCAAGAGTATACTTGGGGTTGGACATGGGAGGAGATGGGATAGGTACTCAGAAACAAAACTGCCCATGTTCCAGAACCATCTGTGCCTGAACAATGCTTGGAAAAATTCATACTATGAGCTAGGCATGTAGGGCCCTTATGCCAGCTGACTCTCAGATCTCTTTCCAGTTTCACGGGCCATTTGCAAGACTATGGAGACCACTCCCTAAGTACATCTGTGACTTGCTGCTTGGAAGTCCCCTGCTTCCCAGGCCAAGGGTTCTTCCCCTCATCTTCATGGCATGTTCAAGTCCTCCCCTGACATTCCTAGGAAAAAACACTAGTTTCTCATCAATTGGTGCACATAAGAAAGCAATTTGACAGTATGTACTGGGGACTTGGGACTTCCTTGTGTCTTAGTTGGCAAAGAATCTGCCTGCAATACAAGAGACCACCTGCAATGAAGGAGACCTGGGTTAGATCCTTGGATCAGGAAGATCCCCTGGAGAAGGAAATGGCAAAGCACTCCAGTATTCCTTCCTGGGAAATCCCATGGACAAAGGAGCCTGGCGTGTTAGCATCTGTCTTGCATTTGTTCCACAGACATTCATAGGGGTTCACCCAGGGCCAGGCCAGTGCTGGACCCTGGAGGCCCGGAGATGGGTCAGATGAGCCCCGTCCTCCAGACGCCCCCAGTCTGATGGGGAGACAGGTGCATAGATTGATGACAACACAGGGTGAGGAGGGTGCTCGGAGGGCTGTGCGAAGACCTGCCTGTGGCTCAGGGGAGGCTCCCCAGAGGAGCGCCTGAGCAGTGATGGGAGAAAGAGGTGATTCACGGCAGACTCCGTGACTGGAGGCTGGGAGAATCGGAGCACAGGACAGGATGACGGGCCAGCAGCAGGGCTCAGTGAGGGGCAGGAATCCAACTGCATTAGGTCCCAGGCTCCGTACCAGGCACTTGTCATCTCTTTAATCCTCATGGCAGAGAAAGCAGGGTGTTTGGCTTGTGAGTGGGAACTTCTCGGTCACACACAGAGAAAGAACGATTTTAAATGGGTGATGTTGAGAAGGGCAAGAAGATTTTTGTTCAGATGTGTGCCCAGTGCCATACTGTGGAAAAGAGAGGCAAGCACAAGACTGGGCCAAACCTCCATGGTCTGTTTGGACGAAATACGGGTCAGGCTGCTGGATTCTCTTACACAGATGCCAACAGGAACAAAGGTATCACCTGGGAAGAGGAGACGCTGATGGAGTACTTGGAGAATCCCAAGAAGTACATCCCTGGAACAAAGGTGATCTTTGCTGGCATTAAGAAGAAGGGAGAGAGGGAGGACTTGATAGCTTATCTCAAAAAAGCTACCAGTGAGTAAAAAAAAAAGAAAAAATCCTCATGGCAGTTCTGAGATAGGTGCTCTTCTGCAGAGGTCCATTTTTTTTTTTTTAAACCAGTGAAGAAACCAAGGCTCTGAGAGGTGAAAGAACTTGCCCGGATCATAGGGCTGAGGGTTTACACTGAGATCTGCATGGCTCGTGGTAGTCCAGGAAGCATTCCTTGCAGTAGTGTGGTGTGCAGTGGCTGTCACTAAAGCTAGTGGAAACTCGGACTGCACTCACAGAGACCTACAAGAGTAGAGGTGACCACCTCACTGTGCGGGTCAGGCACTAACCTGCACAGCGCTGATCTTAAAGAGACCTAGAGCCAGGAAACAGGTTTGGAGAGCGGGAGTCGATGGGACAGGGGCCTCTTGGAGGCTCACTTTTATTGCCTGGCTCTCTGGGCCAGCACTGTGCCAAGCACTGAGGTATAGTATCTCATTTAGTCTAGAGAAGAACCGGCCCAGGGTCCAAGCCAGGGTCCTCAGATCTCTGCAAGGTGGCCCTGGGGCAGAGGAAGCAGCCCAGAGGGCAGGGCCGGGATGAGGATGGTGGGCAAAGCTTTGGTTGGAGCAGGTTTCGGGTCATTGTGAGATGAGAAGCTCTCCCTGGCAAGGGGAGTCAGCTTGTAATACAGCAGACTTCTTGGGAAGTAGTGGGCTTATTGTTCAGTCGCCAAGTTGTGTCTGACTTTTTGCGACCCCATGGACTGCAGCCAGGCTTCCCTGAGCCTCACCATCTCCCAGAGTTTGCCGAAATTCATGTCCATTGAATCAGTGATGCCATCCAACCACCTCATCCTTGGTCATCCTCCTCTCCTTCTGCCTTCAATCATTCCCAGCATCAGGGTCTTTTCCAATGAGGCGGCTCTTCACATCAGGTGGCCGAAGGATTGGAGCTTCAGCATCAGTCCTTCCAATGCGTATGCAGAGTTGATTTCCTTTAGGATTGACCGGTGTGATCTAGAGGGCTGCCTGTCAGCAGAAGTATCTAAGCAGAGTCCCGTGAGGATGCTTTAGAAGGCAGCCGGCCATTTGCAGAATGGCTGCACCACTGCTTTTCCTTGCAGCCTCTGCATTCCATGATTTCTGTTCCGTAGGCCTCACAAGCTGTAGCTTTCACAGGCACGGAGGGTTCCCTGGAGGGGGTCGAGAGGGGACCTCAGATGGCTGGGGAGGACACCCCAGAAGGACAGTACCATCCCGTTCAAGCAAGCCCAGGAAAAGGCCCCATAGTTGGTAGGTGGAGTAAGACCCCCTCCCAACCCACCCCTGTCATGTACCGTCTTGTTCCCCAGTACGGGGAGCTCCTCATGCTGGCTGCTGGCACTGGCCTGGCTCCCATGGTGCCCATCCTCCAGAGCATCACAGACAACGCAGAGGACGAGACCTTCATCACCCTGGTCGGCTGCTTCAAGACCTTTGAGGGCATCTACATGAAAACCTTCCTCCAGGAGCAGGCCCGTTTCTGGAATGTCCGCACCTTCTTTGTCCTCAGCCAGGTGAGCCCAGGGGATAACTTGTGTCCCTGATGGAGACTCTGCTGTCCCCTTGCACTCTTCCCGAGGGCCTGCCGTGGGCTCTCTGACCTGTGCCACAATAATCATTCTCGCCACTGGTGGAACACACAGGTGTGCCAGTGTTGTCATGTGCGTCATGCAAATGAGGAAGCTGATGCTCAGAGGTGAAGGCACCAGCTTGTGTCATGCTGCCAGACGGGGTGAAGCCAGGATCTGAGCCCCAGGCTGTCTGCTTACAGAGCACCAGCTCTCAGCCAGCATGCTTTGCTGCCTGCCGTCCACCCTCCAGCATCCTCCGCTGTGTGGGCAAGGGGCCTGGTGATGGAAGCAGTGGGCCAAGCACAGATGTCCTCTGGCTGTCAGAGCTGATTGAGGCAGGGACATGTTTCTGGGTAACCAGTCTCTCAGTGCTCCACCCAGTGCCAGGCACAGAGGAGGCACTCACTGTCAACAGCTGGTGGAATAAACTGGATCCGAGTTCAAGGCATGTGTGAGGGTCTTTTCCACATCCCTTTTCCGTGCAAGTCCCAGCCACTCTCGCTAGAAGTGGCTTTGCTTCCTGAGCCCTCTCCCCTCTGGTTCCCCATCTCTCCATTCATTCAAGTCACCGCTCTGGGACCTCCCCTCAGGGTCACAGCGCGGGAGTGGGGGGCTGTCTTGCCCCTTACCTCAAGCTAGGCCTTCAGCTGTCTGTTCATCTGCCTCCCCTAGTCTATAGCTTCATTTCTCTTTCCCACACACCCTGGGTTGGGGTCCCCTGCTGGTGTCTCCCCTCCATTCTCTTGCTCAGGGTCCGCCTCATTGCCCTGTACTTTGGAGCACCCTTCTCATCAGTTACCTCTGGAGGCAGCTTTAGAGGGTCCCTAATGACTTCCGTGATCCTCAACATTGTGGGTGGGGGGCTGTCAGGAAACCAGAGATCCTGAGATCCCCAGGAGCCAGAGTCTACAGGCCTGTCTATCAGGAGGAATGCTCAGTGGCCTGATTACCCAGGATGTCATGTTTGGTGAATGTGAACAGTGACAGCAGTCCCCAAGGTCAGAGATGAAGCAAAGGGCTAGTGGACAGCCAGGGGGAGAGAGATGAGGGGAGGGCCAGTCCTGCTTAAAACTGAAGATGCCCTCTTCCTGGCCTCCAGGTGCTCACCTATATATGTGGAGGCAGCCACAGAGATGGCTGACAAGGGCTTCCCTTCATCGAGCATTTTCTCTGTGCCTGGCACTGTTCTAAGCATTGTGTGTATTAACTCATATCAGTTCAGTTCAGTCGCTCAGTCGTGTCCGACTCTTTGCGACCCCATGAACAGTCGCTCAGTCGTGTCCAACTCTTTGCGACCCCATGAATCACAGCATGCCAGGCCTCCCTGTCCAACTCCGAGTTCACTCAAACACATGTCCATTGAGTCAGTGATGCCATCCAGCCATCTCATTCTCTGTCATCCCCTTCTCCTCCTGCCCCCAATCCCTCCCAGCATCAGGGTCTTTTCCAATGAGTCAACTCTTTGCATGAGGTGGCCAAAGTATTGGAGTTTCAGCTTCAGCAGCAGTCCTTCCAATGAACACCCAGGACTGATCTCCTTTAGGATGGACTGGTTGGATCTCCTTGCAGTCAAAGGGACTCTCAAGAGTCTTCTGAACACCACAGTTCAAAAGCTTCAATTTTTCAGTGCTCCGCTTTCTTCACAGTCCAACTTTCACATCCATACATAACTACTGGAAAAACCACAGCCTTGACTAGACAGACCTTTGTTGGCAAAGTAATGTCTCTGCTTTTTAATATGCTATCTAGGTTGGTCATAACTTTCCTTCCAAGGAGTAAGCGTCTTTTAATTTCATGGCTGCAATCACCATCTGCAGGGATTTTGGAGCCCAGAAAAATAAAGTCTGCCACTGTTTCCACTGTTTCCCCATCTATTTGCCATGAAGTGATGGGACCGGATGCCATGATCTTAGTTTTCTGAATGTTGAGCTTTAAGCCAACGTTTTCACTCTCCTCTTTCACTTTCATCAAGAGGCTTTTTAGTTCCTCTTCACTTTTTGCCATAAAGGTGGTGTCATCTGCATATCTGAGGTTATTGATATTTCTCCTGGCAATCTTGATTCCAGTTTGTGCTTCTTCCAGCCCAGCGTTTCTCATGATATACTCTGCATATACTCATATAGTCCCCACCAAAATCTTAGGAGGCTTGTACTGCCATCATGGCCTTTTAATGAATGTGGAAACTGAGGCACAGAGAGGTTAAGAACCTTGCCCAAAGTGACCCAGCAAGTTGGTGGAGAGGTCATGACTTTATTTTTTGCTGGTATAAAACAGCACAGGGATGGGTGCTGTGGAGGATGTTCAGGATGCTGGCAGCAAGCAGAGAGGGCTTCACAGAGCAGATGGCATTTGATCCTGGGCTTAAGGGCAGAGTTAAAGTTCACCAGCGATAGGGCACCTTCTACCTTGGGCCAGGGTTTTGATGATGCTGGTGCCCTGGGGTTGGGCAGGCGAGTGGGCTGGCTGTCAATAGCAAGGGCAGGTGGGGGAGGATGGAGTGAGAGATGCCTCCTGCCTGTCCATGCTCCCTCTACTCCAGTTGCTGCCTGGGCCATAGCGACAGCATCGTCAAGGGTCTCCCTATTCAGGCCACTTCTTACGTATTTGTCCTTCATGCTGTCTCTGGAAGGACAGCTCTGACCACATCACCACCCTGCTTCCTGCCCTTCCCTGGCTCCCCATGGCTCTCAGGACTATGTGCAGCCTTCTGCAGTCTCCCATCCTGGCCCTCCTCCACCCACTGCATGCTGCGTTTTGGTGTCACTGGTCTGCCTGTGGTCACAAGTGCTCCGTGCTTTTCTGGCTTTGCTCGTGCTGCTCCCCCCGCCGGGAGCACTTTTTCCCACTTCTTAAGCTAACGCCCACTCATCCCTCACATCTCTCTGCAGAGGTGTAATTCCATCCTGGGAGCTTCCCTGAGCCTCCAGGCTGGTGTAGATGTTTCTGCTGTCATGGCCTGGGCTTTCCTTCACCCACCCCGCTGCCTCCTCATTGTTGAGGGTCCCCTCCCGACTTGAGCAGCAACCAGACCCCACGCATCTCTTGGTGTAGTCAGGGTGAGCCACACTGAACGAACTGGCCAGGGAGGGAGGGGGGATTGGGCAGTGGGAAGGAGGGGCAAGGCCAGTAGGCCTTGCTTGTTCCTGACCTCGAGGGGGCCCGTTGGGCAGGTCAGAGCACAAAGGGCACACGAGAAGATGGGGATCATCAGAGAGGATCCACCGTGAGCAGCACAGCACTATCCTCAGAGGCCCTCGGGGTCTGATGGGCTCTGAGTGCGCCTGGGATTCTAGGCCTGCTCTCGCGGAGCCTCTTTCAGGGTTTCTCCATCACCCTGCACTCATCACTCACCACGGCAGCTCAGAGAGGTCATGGTCACTCACCAGAAAGTGGTGGCAAAGCTTTCATTCCAACCCCAACGTCCCTCTCCATCCTGTCTTGCAACTTGGCTCTAGGAATGAGAAGTTCACCTCAATAGCATCTGCAGAGGTGACAGCCCTATTCTTCTGGGGCTTTATTTGTTTTAGACGCTGGTTACATGGCTTCTTCTCTTTGTCAAAATTCTCCAAACTGTTAATACATATACAATATATGACATACATATACATATGTTATACTTCAAGAAAATGTTTCCTTAAAAGAAATTTTTCCAAGTCAGCTAGTAGTGGAGATTTTCTTTTGTAACCCTGGGGATGAAAGCCACAAGCTAAGGCTAGAGGAGCAGAATGAGAAAGAGCCTGGGGCCTCATACACCCCCAGAATACTACCTCTAGCCTTCCCATGTGAGAGAAATAAGCCCCTCTCTTGGTTAAGGCAGCCTGGGGTCGCTGATACACAGGCAGATGAAGCCAGGAGCTCTGTCTGCCTGGAGCCGCTGTCCTGTCCCCATTGCCTAGCACAGGGCCGGGCACAGTCCACTCAGTCAGTGAGTTTAGCCGTTCAGTCTTGTCTGACTCTGTGACCCCATGGACTGCAGCACGCCAAGCTTCCCTGTCCATCACCAACTCCCAGAGCTTGCTCAAACTCTTGTCCATCGAGTCCACTCGGTAGACATTGGTTAATTCAACAGGTGAATTGAAAACTTAAATGCACAAAAGTTATGCTCTGAGCGTGATGGTGACAAATAACCTTGGAAAGATGCTGGGAGACCCAGAGTCATGGTGAGAAAACATTCCCCCCAGAGTGTCCGGGACAACAGCCCCTGGGAGGCAGTGGAAATGATGGGACCCACGTCCTGGTCCCAGTGCTGCCCTACCTCATCGTGTGTCCCAGGAACATCCCTCCCCTTCCCTGTGCCTCACCTGTGCCTACCGGCCCACGGGCTTCTGTGAGGGGGACCTGAGTCCCCGTGGAAGGAAGTACCTGGCTCATAGTGGGGCTGGGTGAAGCTTGGTTCCCCCCATCCCTTCTGGCTCAGGTTCCTCATTTGGCAGAGAGGAGCTGACTGTGTGAACTCTGAGGACACCCAGGAGTCACCCCCACTGTCTCTCATCCTCCCAGGAGAACTCCCTGGAGCAGCTTCCCTGGAGCTACCGGGACAGGACCCACTTTGGCCGCCTGGACCGGGACCTGCTAGAAGAGCTGGTCGGCTCCTGTCGGAGAAAGCCATTCGCCCTGGTCTGTGGATCAGCTGAGTTTACTAAGGACGTGGCTGGGTACTTGCTGCACGCAGGCCTGGCCGAGGACTCCTACTTCCTCTTCTAGGCCTGGCCTCGCTTCTAAAGCTCAGGCCTGGGGCCCGGCACTGGGAAGCAGGAAGGATCACAGACTGGAATCCGAAGACATGAATGGGAGACCACTGTTTATGCTCCAGGTGACCTGGGACAAATATCTTTGCCTCTGCAGACCTCCATTTCTCATCCATCCCACGAGGTCACTGTCACTCCGACAGGCATTCTGCTGGGAGGAGAAAGGATGGGGCTGTAGGAGTCCTGAACAGGAAAATAGACAGTGGGCAGTCAGGGAGGACTTCCTGGAGGGAGCCAGGTCCCAGCTGAGTAGGAATTGGCAGGAGGAGGACTGGGAGGGGCTTTCCTGATTCTCAGCCAAAGCCTGCTTTCCCTGGAGTCTGTGTATCTTGTGGCCTCAGGGCCAGCTCAGAGGAGGGCCAGCTCAGATGAGGTGCTCACTGACTGTTTAGGGAATGACCGCAGGGGAGGATAAAGGAAGAACTTGCTGTCTGGGCCTCCAGTACTGTGAGCCTGACACGATGAAGGTCAATGCTTCTTTGACCTGACCACGTCTCAGAACAAGGTGGGGCCCTAGACTACCTTTCTTTTGGCCCCAGTCCTTTCCTGCTGCAAAGGGCTTCCCTCTCAGTCTCCCTTTCCTGGCTCAAGAGCCCAGCCCAGAGTCCTTTCCCTGGCAAAAGAGGCACGGAAGGAAGCTAATGCCCCTCCCTCCTGCAGGCAGCCAGCTCAGCCCGCGCCTGCAGCTCAGCGCCCTGGTGACGGTTGCTATGGAGATCTAAAGATAGAGCAGGAGTCGGGAGACCTGGGTCCCTCTCGCTGCTCTGCCCACTGAATGAGCTGCTGCTGGTTCCGATCCACTCACCCCTCCCCTCCACATGCCACCCGCTCCATCCTGCATGTGGCATGCCCTCCCCAGGGAACCCAGTGCTCCTGGGCAGCACACTGCAGTTAATGAATTCTGCTTTTTTGCAGCCTGTGCTCCTGTCTGCTGCACCAGCTCCGGCTGGCTACAGGCAGTCCCAGAATTGGAATATTAAGCCATGGAATCTCAGAATCAAAGGACCGTAAAATCGTAGAGTTAGAATTTTGCAGTCATAAAATCACAGTCTTCATCACATGCGTGCATGCATGCTAAGTCACTTCAGTTGTGTCCAACTCTTTGCCCGCCAGGCTGCTCTACCCACAGAATTCTCCGGGCAAGAATAGTAGAATGGGTTGCCATGCCCTCCTCCAGGGGATCTTCCTGACCCAGGGCTCGAACCCACCCATGCCACCCGCATTGGCAGGTGAATTCTTTACCACTGGCATCACCTGGGAAGCCCAGTCCTCATCATATAAGAGGTTAAAGCTCAGGACCTCAGAAAGTATGCCGTCTACCAGACTCATTGTATCAATGTGGAAACCAGTGCCCAGAGAGGCCATGTGATCTGCCTTATATAAAACAGTTCATGGCAGGGCCAGCTCAGAAGCCAGATTTATAATGTCAGCCCTGTCCACAGATTCTGTACCAGTGATTTTTTTAGAATGGACTCTGTAGGATAGCATAGTTCCTGGCATGGGAGGTGTGAAGGAATGGCAGCTGGGTGGGATCCCCAGGACCCCCTCTAACCAGAGCAGTTCTGTTTTTATCTCATTTATATCTTGGGGCTTGGGGTCATTTTCAGTTGTGAAGTAAGGTTTTCCTGCACTGCCCAAAAAGTTGCAACAAAACTGTGCTGTGCCATGTTCAATAAATAAGGACAGGCCATTGGGAGATGGTGCCAAAGGTTTCAAACCAAGTTTCACAGGCAGCATTCCATGGTCAAATAGATGTGGGGAATACAGCCTGTGGCCTTTGCCAGCAATTATGTGCATGTGAGCATAATAAAGATTCTGAAAAGTCCAGTGGTGAAGAAACTTCACCAGCCTTCCACGGACTGAGCTTCAGGGAATCCTGGTCTGTTGCAAAGCCCCTTTTCAGCCTAGGGTAAGGAAAAGGCCCTTCTCTAAGCAGCAGAGGTCCCAGACAGGAACTGTGATCTCATTCCGCCTCTCCTGTGACTTAAGCGAGGCATTTTTCCTTTCTCAGGGTCTCAGTCGGGGCATCTTCATCCAACTTTTCCTCTCCCTCAATTGGTATGTCCTGTTGATTCTACTCACAAATACTCTTGGAGGGCCAGTTGGGAGCCAGACTTTGAGCCACTGAGGGCAGTTCTGAGAATCTCCATCATGGAGCTTACAGTATGACAAGGAAGATAGGAATTAAAGTTGTTATTCTTAAAGAGATGAGTATGCTAAAATTGGAAGTACAGAGCGCTAGGAGAATGGCTGGCTCTAGGCTGGTCTGGGGGAGGCTAAGACATGCCACTGCGCTGAGGGTGGAGGCCTCTCACCATTGTTACGGATGGTCAGGGGTCCCCACCTAAGGAGTGAGGGGTCTGGGGCAGTTCTTATATGTCTGTCTTTGTCCCATGTTAGATATTTGGTGTGTAGATGTTACCACCCAGTGAAAACTGACGGTCCCTCTTATCTTAGGATGTGTCGCCCTCCCCTTCCCCTCCTTCCATATGGGATCTGTGTGCTCTGGATGCTGGTGGGGCTTCTTATCCTGGGACACTGGTGAGAACCCAGCCATGTCCTTGGTACCATGATACCGAAGGGCTCATATCGTCCAGAAGCTTGAGAGCTGGCGGCTGGGTCCTGTGCCTCAAAAGATAATAAGTGAGCCCAAGAGGAAGACTCGTCGGGGTGTGTGAGCACGGACCTCTTTGAATCACGGTGAGGTTCCCATCAGCTGGCCCACTCCTCCCATCTCTCCTGGGAATGCTGTCACAGGGTGATGTGACAAAATCAGTGGCTGCCTTGGTTCTGCCCTCGTCGTGTTTTACTGCACCCTTGCAACCTTCCCATCCTCGGTCTTCAGCCTCCTGCCTCTCCCCCATACCCCTCCTGCACTGCAGCCAGACCCTTTTAAAATTTTTTTTAATTTTTGCCCACACTGCGCAGCATGTGGGATCTTACTTCCCTGACCAGGGATCAAACCCATGCGCCCTGTATTAGAAGCATGGTATCTTAACGCACTGGACTACCAGAGAAGACCTCCCGAAGTGTAGGAGACATCGTTGTTGAGTGGAGGTACAGTGGTATACAGCGGCTCTCCAGAGCTTGCCTAGACTGCTTCTCACACGCAGAATCTGTCACTCCTTTGCTTAAAATCCATCAGTGGCTCCCTGTTACTCAGGGTGTGGCATCTGGGCTCTGCTTACCTCTCCGGGCTTCCCTGATAGTTCCATGAAGAATCCACCTGCAATGCAGGAGACCTCGGTTTGATTCCTGGGTTGTGAAGGTCTGCTGGAGAAGGGATAGGCTACCCACTTCAGTATTCTTCGGTTACCCTTGTGGCTCAGCTGGTCAAGAATCCGCCTGCAATTCGGGAGACTTGGGTTCGATCCCTGGGTTGGGAAGATCCCCTGGAGATGGGAAAGACTACCCACTGCAGTATTCTAGCCTGGAGAATTTAGAGTCAGACACAGTTGAACAACTTTCACTTACTTGTTTACTTACCTGTCTAGGCTTATTTTATCTTGCTGCCACTCCCCCACCCCCAACTCTTATGTTCTAAGCATGTTCCCTTACGTCCTTCTGTCCCTTCACATCTACTGCTCCTTCTGCCCGTTCCATCCTCCCATCTTCCATTCACTTTGCCCCCCTGTCTTTAGAGGGCTGAGTTTAGTGTCACTGCCTCTCTGAAGCCTTACCTGCCTCTGCACCCTGGGCTAGGTTACTGAGCAGAGTCTTGTGTGTTCTTCTCTTGTTGCACTCATCAAACTGTCTCTTCTGTGTGTGAGCACATTGGGAGCCATCCCTGTTCGCTGTGTCCCCAGATGGAAGGGTGCTCAGTACATCCTGGATATCAAACATGCAAATAATAAACAGCTAACACTCATGGAGTCCTTTGCTGTTGTTCAGTAACTAAGTCATGTCCGACTCTTGGTGATTCCATGGATTACAGCATGCCAGGCTTCTCTGTCCTTCACTCTCTCCTGGAGCTTGCTCAAACTCATGTCCATTGAGTTGGTGATGCCATCCAACCATCTCATCCTCTGTTGCCCCCTTCTCCTCCTGCCCTTGATCTTTCCCAGCATCAAGGTCTTTTCCAATGAGTTGGCTCTTCACATCAGGTGGCCAAAGGATTGGAGCTTCAGCTTCAGCATCAGTCCTTCCAGTGAATATTCAGGGTTGATTTCCTATAGGATTAGCTGGTTTGATCTCCTTGAAGTGCAAGTGACTCACAAGAGTCTTCTCCAGCACCGCAATTCAAAAGCATCAGTTCTTTGGTGCTCAGCCTTCTTTGTGGTCCAGTTCTTACATGCATACATGACTACTGGAAAAACCATGGCTTTGACTATACAGACCTTTGTTGGCACCATGACGTCTCTGCTTTTTAGTATGCTGTCTAGTTTTGTCATAGCTTTTCTTCCAAGGAGTGTCTTCATTTTGTGTCTGCAGTCACCATCTGCAGTGATTTTGGAGCCCAAGAAAATAAAATTTGTCACTGTTTCCACTTTTTCTCCATCTATTTGCCATAAAGTGATGGAACCAGATGCCATGATCTTAGTTTTTTGAATGTTGATTTTTAAGCCAGCTTTTTCATGCTCCTCTTCACCCTCATCCAGAGGCTCTTTAGTTCTTCGCTTTCTGCCATTAGAGTTGTATCATCTGCATATCTGAAATTGTTGATATTTCTCCTGGCAATCTTGATTCCAGCTTGTGCTTCATCCAGCCCAGGATTTCACATGATGTTCTCTGCATACAAGTTAAATAAGCAGGGTGACAATATATGGCCTGTACTCCTTTCCCGATTTGGAGCCATCCTGTTGTTCCATGTCTGGTTCTAATTGTTGTTTCTTGACCTGAATATAGATTTCTGAAGAGGTAGGTAAGGTGGTCGGGTATTCCCTTCTCTTTAAGGATTTTCCACAGTTTGTTGTGATCCACACAGTCAAAGGCTTTCATGTAGTCAATGAAGCAGAAGTAGATATTTTTCTGGAATTCCCTTACTTTTTCTTTGATCCAGCGGATATTGGCAATTTAATCTCTGGTTCCTCTGCCTTTTCTAAATCCAGCTTGTACATCTGGAAGTTCTTGGTTCACGTACTGTTGAAGCCTATCTTGAAGTATTTTGAGCATTACCTTGCTAACATGTGGAGTCCTGTACAGGTTGCAAAATGCTTTTCACCTACATTGAAGCATGCAGCCATCACCAAATATATGCTATTTTGTTACCCCAGGATACTGATGAGGAAACTCAGCTTATGAAACATTAAACAATTCTCCAAAGTCATGCAGGGGTGTGTGCTGCAATTGTTATACAGGTTGTATGTGACATGGGTGCACAGGAGATGTGTATAAAGATATCCACTGCTGTACTGTTTGAAACCGCAAAGGATGAAAATATGTTCATCAGTAAGAAAATGGAGAAATGAAGTGTTCTTTGTAGATGCATACAGTGGAAAACCATACAGCAGTTAAAGTGAGGGAACTAGATTTATGTGTATCAGTTCAGTTTAGTTCATTTCAGTTGCTCAGTCATGTCCGACTCTTTGTGACCCCGTGAATTGCAGCACGCCAGCCCTCCCTGTCCATCACCAACTCCCGGAGTCCACCCAAACTCATGTCCATCGAGTCGGTGATGCCATCCAGACATCTCATCCTCTGTCGTCCCCTTCTCCTCCTGCCCCCAATCCTTTCCAGCATCAGGGTCTTTTCCAATGAGTCAGCTCTTTGCATGAGGTCACCAAAGTTTTGGAGTTTCAGCTTCAACATCAGTCCTTCCAATGAACACCCAGGACTGATCTCCTTTAGGATGGACTGGTTGTATCTCCTTGCAGTCCAAGGGACTCTCAAGAGTCTTTTCCAACACCACAGTTCGAAAGCATCAACATAGACTAAATTCTAAAAACATAATGGAGTGAAAAGCAAATTATAAAAGGAAGGGTAGAATAAGATACCCATATTTGAAAAGTTCAAAAACACAAAATAGGGACTTCCTTTGTGGTCCAGTGGCTAAGGCTCTGAACTCCCAATGCAGGGGGCCCGGGTTCAATCCCTGATCAGGGAACTAGATCCCACATGCCACAACTAAAGATCCTGCATGCACAACTAAAAAGATCTCCCATGCTGCAGCGGAGATCAAAGATCCTGTGTGTGGCAGCCTGGGCCCAGTGCAGCCAAATAACTTTTTTTTTTTTAATTAAAGCATGAAATAATACCAAGTGCTCAGGAAGGAGATTCACCAATTTCAAGGATAGTGGTGACCCCTTCACAGAAAGAAAAGAAGGAGGTGGGATGAAATGGGGACTTTTATCCATTTCACTTCACTAGAAAAATACTTGAATTGATTACAGCAAAGTGATCATCTGGTAAATCTAGGTGATGGGTTCACCATTGTCTGCTTTATTAATGTTCTACCTTTTTCTGTGTTTGAAATATTTCCATAATTAGAGAACTTTTGAAAAATAAGATGAAGTATGCCTGGTCAAAGTGCTTCAGAAACTCGAGGCTTAAAAACATTCCCTGCTTCTCTCCTACTTCAGGGTACACTGTGCCCTTCTATGCCTTCAAGCTGCTCATTCTTTCGTTTCAAACCATTGTGAGCACCTACCCTGTGCCCTGGTCTATTTGTTTTTCAGTCACTCAGTCGGGTCTGACTCTTTTGCGACCCCATGGACTATAGTCCGCCAGGCTCCTCTGCCCATGGGATTTGCCAGGTAAGAATTCTGGAGTGGGTTGCCATTTCCTTCTCGAAGGAATATTCTTGACCCAGGGAAAGTGAAGTGAAAGTGAAAGTCGCTTAGTTGTGTCCAACTCTTTGTGACCCCATGGACTATACAGTCCTTGGAATTCGCAGGCCAGAATACTGGAGTGGGTAGCCTTTCCCTTCTCCAAGGGATCTTCCAACCCAGGGATCAAACCCAGGTCTCCTGCATTGCCAGTGGATTCTTTACCAGCTGAGCCACAAGGGAAGCCCTGGTCTAGACGCAACAGTAAATCGTGTAAACAGTGCCCAGCACCCACTTACATGCCCCTCCGCTTGTCCCTCCTTTCCTCATAAACTCAAACTAGAGTGACTTCCAAGGCATCACGGTTTTGGACTCTTTCCCCACCCCCACCCTTTTTATACTGTATTTTGATTTCCTTTTTAAGTGAGGCAGACCAAGGTTCAGATCTCTTACTGATTCTGCAAGTATCCAGGGCAAGTAACTTGTCCTCTCTGGGCCTCAGTTTAGTCACCTGTAAAGTGGGCAGGGTACCGTGGCTTCCCAGGGCTGTGTGAAGATGAGGGAAACACATTGATGCCCAAGCACAGCTCGTGACCCAGTGCAGGTGTGAGAACCAGTCCCCTGCCTTTCCTCTTCCCAGAGTCCCTCCCCATCAGCGCCTGGCTCATGCTGGCCTCTGGACAACAGCACTTGTTCTCAAACTTTTCAGCTTTAGGACTCCCCTTTTTATTATTTTCCCCATGCTTTGGAAGATTTTGATCCCAAATTGCATGTATTAAGTCATTATTAATTTATTTCCCATTTTTTATTAATCAAAGACATAGCTGCCCCTCAGAGCTTCTGATCTGTACAGCCCTCCGGGAGCTGCACATGGCTAACATAATTCCAGCCAGAGGCAAAGGAATCAGCCGTGTGGGTGGTCTGGGTGGCCTGAGGAGGGCCCATGTAGAGGCACTGTGTTCATTTTCTTTTAACCAAGAGCTGTGGAAGTGCGCCCTGCCTTGCGTGGGTGGGTCTGCTTTCCCAGGTCACTGACCGATGGGCTGGGGCTGAGTCTTCCCTGCAAGGCTCGAGATCAGGGCCCCACACAAGTCCCGGACCTCTCATCTGTTTGACTCACTCCAAATAGGTGGCGTGCACCAGCGCCTCCCAGAAGAGCATGGGGTTCGCGTAGTGTGTGCGTGTTAGTCCCTCAGTCCTGTCTGACTCTTTGCGACCCCACGAACTGTAACCCACCAGGCTCCTCTGTCCGTGGGGTTCTCCGGGCAAGAATACTGAAGTGGATTGCCATTCCCTTCTCCAGAGGATCTTCCCAACCCAGGGATCAAACCCTGGTTTGACTCACTCCAGATAGATGGTGTGCACCAGGGACATGACTTACAACTCTGTAGTCCTGTGCTTCCAAGGGGCTCAGCCTGTGATAGGTGCCGTGACGCCCATGGCCCCGACTCCCCTCCAGCTCCCCGCATCCCCAGGCCCCTGGCCCACACCTGCTCCTGGATGATGCTGACAGGCCAGCGGTGGTTCCACTGAAGCCAAGACTGTGTTCTCGAAGACGTCCGATTCTGGAACAGTGAGAATGAGCCTGGAGGTAAGCAACGCTTGCTGAAGTTCTCCTGAGCGCCAAGTTTTAGTCATCTGTTTCGGGCTGCGTTTGCCCCAAAGCAGACTCTGAATGAGGATGTGGGTGCAAGAAGTTTACATGGGGGGGGACTCAGGGAAGCATGTCGAGGGAGGGCGAGGAGAGCCAGCACATATGTGTTAACCGGCAGGCTTCCGCCTGCACAGCGGGGGCCCATCCTCGGGGGTCCCACCATCACTCAGCACTATGCACTCCTGGGGGCGAGGGAACTGGGCTGCTTATCTACCAGCCCCTAGTGTCTCTCTGGGGCTGAGGCTTGTTCCCAGGGCACCAGCTCCCAGCGCTTGTGGCCTCCTAGGTGTGGAGCCAGAGAAGCCCTTGGGCAGGGAGATGCAGGAAGCCCAGTGTGTGTCCCTCCAGCTGGGCCGTGGTGACAGAAGCGGCAGTCAACAGTTCCACTGGGCCATCTCACTTTATTCTCACAATCTTGAGAGCTGTAGCTTCCCTGTTTTATAGGCGAAGGGCTGGATGCTCTCAGGGTAGAACAGCTGGCAGAGAAGGTGATGTGGCCTGAGGGCAGCCTCTGTAGTGTGCCTGCCCCCACCACCCCACCAGCACAGCATCTAGACAGGGAGTGTTGACGCGGCATTTGTTGGATGAGCTGGTGGATGCCACACGACCTTGGGCTAGCCACTGCTCTTCTGTAAAGTGAAGATGGGATATCGTTTTCTCCCGGGGCTGCTTTGAGGAGTAAAGGAATTGCCTCAGTGCCCAGCACTCGGCTTGGCCCACAGTCAGGTCTCTAAGCATTACTTTCTTTTCTCCTCTGAGGGCAGGAGGGGTCTCTACTAAGAGGTGAATCTTCATGCCTTGCTCAGTGACCACCTGCAGGGAACCTCGAGACAAGTGGTTCCAGAAAAGTCTCCAGAACGTCCCTACTGGCTCCACCCAACCAGACCTGAAGCCTGCCCAAGTCCCTTGCCCCCTACCACCACACCCATGTTAATAAAACCATAGCCTGCCTTACCTCCCTGTTAGTCCAGAGAATAGCCTCTCCCTCAGTCTCTCAGTCTCTGTCTCTGTCTCTCTGACTCATGCTTTCAGCCTCTCCTTAACCTTCCTCATCTCCCATCACTCCCCAGTCTCCTGCCACCTGGTACCTGCCACATCCCTACCCCATGTGCTCAACAAGGTCCCTGGCACCCAGAGATCATTTTTCAGCTGCATTTGAGGCTGTTGTCAATTCTCTCCTTTCTGGCCCT